AAAAAAGAAAAAAGAAATACACACTAGGCTGGGTGCAGTGGCTCATGCCTGTAATCCCAGCACTTTGAGAGACCGAGGCAGGTGAATCATGAGGTCAGGAGTTCAAGACCAGCTTGGCCAACATGGTGAAACTCCTGTCTCTACTAAAAATATAAAAAATTGGCCAAGAGTGGTGGTGCGCGCTTGTAATCCCAGCTACTACTCTGGAGGCTAAGGCAGGAGAACTGCTTGAGCCCAGGAGGCAGAGGTTGTGGTGAGCAGAGATCACCCATGCCACTGCACTCCAGCCTGGGTGACAGAGGAAGACTCCCTCCCTCTCTCTCTCTCTCTTACACACACACACACACACACACACACACACACACAAACACAGACAAATTAATTGCTTTTATCTGTTTTTTCACTTTTAACGTGGCTGCTAGAAAATGCAAAAATATGTGAGGCCACGGGCGGCGGCTCACGCTTATAATCCCAGTACTTTGGGAGGCCAAGGTGGGCAGATTATTTGAGGTCAGGAGTTGGAGATAAGCCTGGTCAACATGGTAAAGCCTTGTCTCTACTAAAAATACAAAAATTAGCCAGGCATGGTGGCAGGTGCCTATAATCCCAGCTATTCAGGAGGCTGAGGCAGAAGAATTACTTGACTCTGGAAGTTGCGGTGAGTTGAGATCACACCACTGCACTCTAGTCTGTGTGACAAAGTAAGACTGCCTTTAAAAAAAAAAACAACAGTATGTGGCTCATATTTTTCTATTGGAAACACTGGTTTCAACAACCCCTAAAGCCCTGTTCTACTATACCACATCATTAATCTATAAACAAGTAGAGAGAACTCAATTCTCTGGGTCTAAGTTCTCTTTTTAAGGCTAACTATTCAATTTCTTTGAAATACTTTGTGTCAGAAGACCCAGGCACACATCTCATTTGGACAGCATTCCCACTACTTTTGAGTCTCACTTTTTAGAAAGCTGTCTGGAGGACTGAATGAAGACCTGAAAATACCTAACCAAATTTACAGCAGTAATAAGGTCTCAAGTCTGCTTCTAGTCATTGTTCATTACCACCACTTTCCAAGACAGTATTCAGTTAAAACTTCTGAACAATGAGTGTTTTAATTTTATCTAATGAAATACATATACATGAGTGGTAAGCTAAATCTTCAAACTTACAAAGCACATCAGCATGGCCTGTAATTGTGCAGTCTAATATTGTAGTCAATTGTCACATGTGGCTATTTACATTTAAATTAACTAAAAAGAAACTGAAGCACAAATTTAGTTCCTGAGTCACATCAGCCACATTTCAAGTGCTCAATATCCCTATGTAGTTAGTAGACAGTTCCATCATTGAAGAAAGTTCTATTGGACAATAACTCTCAAAGAGAAAAAGCCACAACAGTAACAATGACAGAGAAAACATCTTGTTAAAAATAATTCAAATAACATATAGAGTTAAACATATGCATGGAAGAAACAATTTTGCAAAGAAGCTGAGGACTCAATGTAAATGGAACCTTTTAAAAGCAAGGTACAAGTTCCAATTATGGTCAGAAACAATTGTTCAAGAGCAACTACCAAGGTTCCTGAAATGTGAATTTTCCTAAATACTCAAATGAAAATGATTGTGTTCTACATACACACCATTCTGTGCCTTATTCCTAATCAGAGTGAAAGCACTTTCACTAAAGTTAACCACACCACTTTAAGCTAAGTAAACTGACCATTAAGAAAATTCTGAAGAATATGATACATTTTAAACTTAGAAGTTATTCCCAGGAGACTGCAGCATAATTCCAGGAAGTATACCTCTTCCAGACAGTACAACTAAGCATGTAGTAAATCCTAGTACTTAGCATTGCTTTCTATTTGCAACCCAAAATAACTATAGCAGGAATCCCTAACATTTGACTCAACGAAACATTCCATGCCTGCTTTTATGGATCAAAGGGCAAAGAATAGGTTAGGGTGATTTTTAATTGGAGACTCAAGGAGTCTAGAAATACAAAAGAATGTTTCAGGTGGCCTAAAGATACTTAATGTGCCAAAAAATTGAGAATTACAGGCAATAATTTATATATGTAGCCTAGGATTTTTAAGAAACTGCAATTCCAACAATATCTTGCTCAAATAGGCATTCATTTATTAACTGCTATCCATCTAGAAAAAAAGAAATATTCATAAATTAAAATTCATTTACTATCAGTCCACTGATGATGACAGATCCTTCAACTGGACAATGTAGTTAAAGGGTATAAAAATAAGTTCATTTACAGTTTCACAAGCTAACTCTATACTCATACTTAAGTTCCTCATTTCTTGTTTCCAGTTTTTATCTTACGTGTTTCAGAAAGTTTTCTGCATCTTAGCAAACAGGTAGAAGCTCAGAGGTCAGAGACCAAAGACACCAATCAAAATAATCCTTATTAGTTCGGCTTGGGGGTTCACACCTACTATCCCAGCACTTTGGGGGGGGCAGAGGCAAAGGATTGCTTGAGCCCAGGAGATTAGCCTGGGCAACATGGTGAAGCCCAATCTCTACAAAAAATACAAAAATTAGCCAGGTGTGGTGGCTCATGTCTGTAGTCCCAGCTACTCAGGATGCTGAGGTGGGAGGACGGCTTGAGTCCTGGAGGTTAAGGCTGCAGTGAGCTGTGATGGCACCACTGACCTCTAGCATGGAAGACAGAGCAAAAACCCTGCCTCTTCAAAAAACAAAAACCTTCTAAGTTTTAAAAAGGGAGGAGATAATGATATGAAGTCAGGACATACATTATCATGGAAGAGGCTGCGGTTATTGGGCTCTGCAATTAATCAGCTGGAGCACACAGTCACATTAGTTAAGCAAGCTTAAGTTTAGGCATGACATAGCAATCCAAAAAACAGACTGAATTTTTCAATTTACAAATCTGCTTTATATTCAAAATCTTCAAATTATTTGAGAAGAAAATGGCTTTGCTCAAGTATCTGCAGAAACTTTGAACCAGTTAGAAAACAGATGTATTAAATTTGTCTTCGATAACTGACGAGGTTGGGTTCCAATCTTTGGGATCATTTAACAATTCTTGTCTCCTCTTTAAAAGAAATGAAAAGCTATTACTCGAACCACCACAAGATTTAGTAGTGAGCTATACATCTGCCGTGGAAAATAAACAGCAGCTGTACTTGATTCTCTGTGTGTGGTTTATAAACATTTGTCTGCAGAAAGATATTTCAGATGCACATTAGTATGAAAATAAGCCCATGTTTTCCTTTCACACTTAAGAACAGCACCTTCTCAACTCTCCACATTCATTTGCCACCCCAATTTAACAGAGGTAACCACGGCAATTAAACTAGAATTGATCAGAAAAACATGTCCATTTTTGTCACTGAACATTTTTTTTCTTCTTTTTTAACCTGGCAACTTTCATTTAAGTCACTGAACATTTTCAACCTTCTGCAAAAGTTTTTTTATTGCCAAGGTATATTCCATTACTTCAGATGAGTTATTTGAAAATTATGACTAAAGAAAGTGCATTATTTAACTCATTTTATGGGTAAAGACTTATTATTCTTTACATTTCAAGCCTTAAAGGAAAATAATTCCTTGCTAGTGCAAATATGGTAATACCTGCAAAGAAATATGAAATTACGTTACTTATAGCTTGAATTATTAAACCCTTTTATTAACAAGAATCCTTTATGCATGTTATGCCAATGGGGGAAATGTAAATAAAAATGGTCTTCAATGGTAAAGTGTCTAACAGGTCACCGGTATTAGTGTCATGCCAAACCACCGCATTCTCTGTTATGATGGAATTAGCCCTTCAGACCATTGAGCTGAGGCAGGCTTCATTAAGAGGATATTTGGGAAGAGAGCAAATTAATAGGAATAAGTTATTTTAGCTACAGTAAAAATCAGGATTGGTGACACCGGAAAATCAAAAGCTCTGAAGAGGTTTAAATTCAGTGAAGCCTTCCAATGGTCACCTGCCTAGGCCGGCAACTGGCATGCTGCCAGATGAGACAATAATATGTTGCCTCCAGGATAAGGAACCATGGGGAAGAACTCTAGAACTTACTAAAGGGAAGCCAGTTACAGACAAAATAACCCTGCAAGTCTCAGAGCAGCTGTGCTCTGTCCCCAGGGCTCTGTTCAATTCCATATGATCCTGAGGAAGATATCAAAACTACCTGCTACTACTAGAGAAGACTAGAAGATAACCTCTGCGTAACTTTCCCACCTTCTAGAACCAGAGAGGGGTTAAGAGCCACAACATCCCCAGAGAAATAAAAAAGTGGGGGAAGGGAGGCGAGTTTCCCTAGGGATCTTGACCCCACACACTCTGAGATTGACAACGTTCTGAGAAACGCGTTCCCCCATTCTACCCTCGTTCCGTTCTTTCAGTGACCTTCTGTCCCTACTGCCTCAGGGAAGGCAAGAGACAAACCAACGCCTCACCAACCCTCAACCCTCACCACCGGAGAAGGTGCCTTTCTCAGTTGAGAGCCGCAGAGGGAGGAAAAAAAAAAAGGTTGCTCCTCCCCAACCCACCCGCCCCACAACTCCTGGGTGCAGACACGATGAGGAAAAGAGGAAAGCAATAGAAGGTGACAGCCCTGCACTGGCCCAGGGGATGATAAGAATCCTTGCTCTGATAGAAACAAGGGAGAATCCCCCCTCCCACTCCCCTACCCAAATGAATGAACTAAATAAAATGGGGAGGGGAGAGTTAGTAGGCGCAGTACCGGCCATCCAGGAAGCAAGATCGAGAGGCCTTTGGATCCAGGCCTGGCCTTGCAGCCCTTTGCTCCCCAACTCCCGTCCTTTCCATCCAAGCCCCACATCATTTAACCTTTTAAGCTTTCTAAGATACTGCCCCCTCCTCCATCTACCCCAAACACCGATAACCTCCCCCCCCCACCCTTCCAGCTCCAATACTGCTCAGGCCCCGACTCCAGCTTCTTCCATCCTTCCTACCACCTTCTCCACAGCCCTCACCAGCCCGGGCCCGGCCGCACCTGGAGATGCTCCTGAAAACGAATTGGCAGAATCTGGGCCATGGCGCTGTCGGGGGGTATGGTCTCCTCCTGTCACTGGGACTGCGGGGCAGTGGCTGCCCGGGCTCTCCAAGGGAGAGGAGGAGAAGGGGAGGGGGAAGGCTGGGCTCAGCAGGATCCTCTCCGGGGACGCAGGAAACTGGCAGGCGGACGAAAGAGCTCGGGTCGGGGGCGGAGGCTCCAGGGGCCAAGAGAGCCGCAATGGCGGAACCGGGCGCAGCGCAGACTCCGGAAACGGCTGAGCCCTGCGGATGGATCCCAGCGACAGAACTCCGCCCAGTCGCCTCACTCTCCTCCGCCTTATGTACCCTTCCGAGGAGCGGCGCGCGGCGGGCGCAGGAATTCGCGGCGCAGTGCGCCCAAACCCTCGCGTCCTGACGCATATGGGAAAACAGAGGAACCAGAGGGACTACTTTTTAGACTCATAATTTTCGCCAATCTTCTTTTTCTCCCCCCACCGCGGCTTTTTTTTTCATTTTGCCACATCATGCGACTCGGAGCGACCAACGTCACTTCCGTGGGTGCTTTAGGTCCCACCCACGTACTTCCATGTGCACGTGATGCTGATGGGGAAGGGTCGGCTGATTGCTGCCAGAATGGAGAGTGCGTTCCAAGGAAATGCAAGGTCTTCAGGGAGTGAGGTGGCTGTTGGGCCACTTTGAGGAATAGCGGGTGCCGCTTCCTTCCCCTGAGGCCCTTGCCTGTTTCGACTGAGCCCTTTACAGGAGGACATGGCGGGAGCATACGGGTGCAGCCTCCCGCCCTCTCCGTGACTCAGGGAAACGGCCTCGCCGCAGAGTGCTCCCTCGGCAGCTGCCTGCAGCACTCCTCCCCCGCCAGGCTTCAGAGTGGTGGTTTCCTACAGCCTAGGGAGGAGCCCTGAAACGGGGTTTAACATCCTCCCTGCCCTCGCACGCGCCCTTCTGACGGTTGGCGAACCTGATGCGCGGATTCTAACTAGAACCAGCACTCTCTTCGGGTGTTAGATAATTAGCTCAAAGGACAGCGAAGGCCATTTATGATGCCTCTCAAGCTGGCCTTATAACAGCTTTTCTTAACGTTTTTTGCGGACATTTTGTCGGACATATGCCGGCCTAGCTCAGTGGTGAGTTTCGTTAAAGAATTCGAGTATCCGAACGTTAAGGAGGATTTTTTTTTTTTTTTTTTTTTTTTTGCCACATCAAACTTATGTCTCTTTAGATAATTAGGTTAAAGATGGTTGGTAAAACCTGAAGGTTCCTGGAGGAAAGAGATGAACTATTAGCCGTGTTATTTCGGTGGGATCATCTCAACACAGGTTCCTCTAGGTTAGCAGTGTAGAAATGTGGCGCTTCAAAGCCGGAGCATCCAGTCAAAGAACATGAAGGTGTCAACGGCATTCACTGATCAATAACCACCTTCCAGCACTTCCATGCTAAAGTATAAGCCATAATAGTATTTCACAGTGGCACCAATAAAGGATAAAAGAAGTTGCTTCTGTGCCTTTTATCTTTATAAAGGTGATTTCTCCCCCCAGAAAGAAAAACTCAAGTCCACAGTAATTATATTTAGTGCCCTTTTCAGATAAAGGACGTAAAACCCTATTGGGAAGACGGTAATTTTGTGTTAAGCAGTCTTGGTTAGAGTGAGAAGTTCGCCAATCATTTTAGTTGCTTCTAGTGTTTTTCCCTTAACTGTCTCACATACTGAGCATGAGAGAAGACTGGCAGGTAAGAGGGCAGTCAGAGATTGTCCTACAAAGAAAAACCTTGCCACCATGTTGTAAGAGTGAATATTTATGCTTGCAAAATTTCTTTTTGTATCGTTAAGCTAAATACACGAAGATCCTCTGTGTTCTGCAACATTTGAAATGACCTTTCTAATGCCTAATAGTAACTGGTTTAAACCCTTTTTGGAAGTAGACAAATTCTAAATTAAAATTCTAAGGGAGTAATTGTTTTATTACAGTAATTCAATAGATTGATCAAGTTATATTTTCAGTCTCAGAATCTGGAGATAAAAGAGCTGTATCATGAATTGGCTGCCAAAATTTAATTTATTAATGTGTCTTGCATTTTCATACAGATCTTGTAACTTTAAGTACATTTAGAATCCCAAAAGCAGTTGATTTTAGCTATTTGGTGTGGAATATCTAACCAAGAAGTGCACTGAGGTTCTGTTAGTGACTGCTACGTTATCACACATAGAAATCTGATGAATACACTGTTTTGAGAAATAATTTAGGAAGAGGAAAAATAGATTTTGATATTCTGGATCATTTTGAAATGATCTTCAAATCAATCCAAAAATTTCCAAAAGGAAAAAAAAAAAGTCAAGATGATAAACATTAAAAAAAAAAAACAAAAACAGCAAACCCTATGCCTTTTTAAAGATGAATAATTGGAGTAGGGTAATAGGTTTTTTTTAATGGGAGTCTGCTGTTCTTGCTGACAGTATAAAGGCAGTTTCACTGGTTTAGAAAGCCCAAAAGCTGAGGCCATGTTAACAGAGTATGTGAGGTATGTTCTTGCTAACAGTATAAAGGCAGTGTCACTGGTTTAAAAACTGCAAAGGCTGAGGCCCTGTTAAGAGTTACCTAAGCAATATCTGAATGGCACTGTTTTCACACATTACTTTAAGTTAGAGGGGAGAACAGATAACCTAACAGACCGGGAAGCAAATCCTAATACCCAGAATGTTTTTTTCTTTTTTTTCAGACAGAGTCTTGCTTTGTTGCCCAGGCTAGAGTACAGTGGCTTGATCTCAGCTCACTGCAATCTCTGCCTCCCAGGTTCAAGCAATTCTCCTGCCTCAGCCTCCCGAATAGCTGGGATTACAAGTTTGTGCCACCATGCCCGGCTAATTTTTGTATTTTTAGTAGAGATGAGGTTTCACTATGTTGGCCAGCCTGGTCTTGAACTCCTGACCTCGTGATCTGCCTGCCTTGGCCTCCCAAAGTGCTGGGATTACAGGGGTGAGCCACTGCACCTTTCTTCCAGAATGTTTTTTTTTTTTTCAACGATGCAGTATGACAGTCTTTTTTTTTTGCCAATCAGTTTGAGCTTATAAGGTTGCTTAGGTTAGCCTTGAACTCATGACCTCGCCTTCGCAAGCGCCACGACCTCCGGCGGGAGCCACTTTGGACCCCAACATAGTCTTTTAAAAGATAATGCTATGAATGATCACCCTAGCTTTTGGTTTCAGAAAATGTTTTAGCAAGGTAGCCATGTTAATAAAATAAATGGTGAAGTTAAGGCTATTTTTGTCATAATGCTCATCAGCAGTTCGTCCCTATCATGAGTCATAGCAAGTGCCATTAGCAAAACTACATTGCTTGGTCTGTTATTTTGAGGAGTGCTAGTTTTTCAAAACCTATACAAGAAACCTGTATATTGTCACTAATTTTAATGTTATGCTCACAACTAGGATATATACATATAACCCTCAATGGAATGACACCTCAAAAAAAACCACAAAAAACCTCTTACTGTAGGATTTCTCTGTAGCTGTTCATCTTCAAGCAGCCCTGGCATTAATGCCCCTGCTTTTTAAAAACCTGATTTTTTAAAAACAGCTTGAGGCTGGGTGCGGTGGCTCAAGCCTGTAATCCCAGCACTTTGGGAGGCCAAGGCGGGTGGATCACGAGGTCAAGAATTCGAGACCATCCTGGTCAACATAGTGAAACCCCATCTCTACTAAAAATACAAAAAATTAGCTGGGCATGGTGCCGCGTGCCTGTAATCCCAGCTACTCAGGAGGCTGAGGCAGGAGAATTGCCTGAACCCAGGAGGTGGAGGTTGCGGTGAGCCGAGATCGCGCCATTGCGCTCCAGCCTGGGTAACAAGAGCGAAACTCCGTCTCAAAAAAAAAAAAAAACAGCTTGAATTTGCTGCATTGCAAAAGTCACAAAGGCATATCTCACATACTCAGAGATTAATTGTAAAGCAGAATTTTAATCCACTTTACCAAATGTTTACAATTCAGATTCTAATAAAGCCATAAAAGACATACTTTAGTATTATCCAAGTAAGATACCTGGTTTTGCCATTTGAACAGCAGCTTTGAAGCATCTCAACCCCCTGGGGCCATTGATATGAATCCCAGCAGGGTTAGACTGGCTAGGTCATTATCTTTTCATGCAAGATAAAGAACAGCCTATCAAATGTGAGTAAACAAATGCTCACTCTATTTTGACCCTGTGCAAGTCACTGACTATAGGCAAGGCTCCCCTCTCCAAAATGAAAAAATGAAAGCAGCATTTACAAAGCAACAAGATTTTTTTTCTTCCTTTTTTTGAGTCTTGCTCTTGTCATCCAAGCTAGAGTGCAATGGTATGATCTTGCCTCATTGCAACCTCTGCCTCCTGGGTTCAAGCAATTCTGCTTCAGCCTCCTGAGTACCTGGGATTACAGGCACCAGCCACCATACCTGGCAAATTTTTGTATTTTCAGTAGAGATGGGGTTTTCACTATGTTGGCTAGGCTGGTCTTGAACTCCTGACCTCAGGTGATCTGCCTGCCTCAGCCTCTCAAAGTGCTGGGATTACAGGCGTGAGCCACCACACCCAGCCCCGAAAGAACAAAATTTTAATGGCCTTTTAATTTTACTATGAAATGTACCCGACTTAAACTTTTTTTTTTTTTTGTAACATTCTTGGAGTATAGACTTATACTCTTGACATCATCCACTGGTAAGGCTTGTTTTAAACTTTTAAATAGATAGCAATAAGATCTATAGTGAATCTTTACTCTGTATCAGCATTGGGCATGTTCTAAGTGAAAAGCAAAGACTAACTCTGTGGGGATCCAATCAGGTCACAGTATATGGGGCCCACCCATGTTTTAGAAGGGTTAAATCAGATCCTGGCAGAGGAATGAAGTGGTTCATGATATTACCTTAAAAAGTCATCTCACAAAAATTGGTTAAGGCAGGGCCTGGTGGCTCACACCTGTAATCCCAGCACTTTGGGAGGCCAAGGCGGGTGGATCCCCTGAAGTCAGGAGTTTGAATTGAGAGCAGCTTGGCCAACATGGTGAAACCCTGTCTCTACTAAATATATAAAAATTAGCTGGGCATGTTGGCAGGCACCTGTCATCCCAGCTACTTGGGAGGCTGAGGCAGGAGAATCACTTGAACCTGGGAGGCAGAGGCTGCAGGGTGCCACTGAGATCACACCACTGTACTCCAGCCTAGGTGACAGAGCGAGACTCGGTCTCAAACAAACAAAAAAGCTTCTGGATGCCTTCAATATTTTTTGAAACTCTCTGCCTCCCCTATTTCCCTTTCAATTCTAGACAAATTAAAAGAAACTTTCTATTATACTTTTATATAGCACTTTTAAAAAAGGTGTTTATTAATAGTGGATTTTGTATTAGAGGAAGATCAGACAAATATGTCTTCATTTGCCGCTCTACAGTGTGCCACTGCACTTCAGCCTGGGCAACCGAGCAAGACTCCATCTCAAAAAAAAAAAGCTGGTTTACAAATAAATAGCAATTCACAGAACACTGTGGACAGAAAAATCCAGGAGTTTAACCCTGCTGATTAATAGGGAGACAGATGCCACGCCACAACATCTTCTGACAAAAGTCACAAGAAGCTTGAGAGCATCTATAGAATGAAGAGGCAGTGAGGGTGAAGTGTGGGAATAATTGTTATGGGCAATTGCTGTTTCTATATATAGAAATATAATGTACCATGAGTAACAATAAAATCTAGAACATTCTGTGTTCACCTCCTAGAGTTACTACTGTCTCCAGTTCAAAGCAAAGCATGACCCACAGATATGTTCCCTTGGGAATTTTAAAGTTTTGTCACACTCCAGGGATAGTTCTGCCAGTAGCAATGTACATCTACAGCCTTATTAATGGTAGTAAACTCTCACTTATTCACAACAGAATAGCTAAGGACTGACATTTGGTAAAGTTTTGGTTAACAATAAAGTGTAAAGGAATTATAATTAATTTCTTCAAACATTTTCCAGTACCTACAATGTAAAATTAAATACTCAATGTTAAATTATTTTGTAAAGCCTTTTTTGAAAAAAACAGTTGAAATAGGGAAAGCAATTCTGAACCTTAAAGGTCTCAGATTCATCAGTGAACAGTTGTTGTATAGTACTACTGCAAATGTAGCCTAATCTCAGTATGTACCAAACTTAGGATACACTAGGAATTACTTTTTTAAAATGCTATACCTCATCCTGTCATGACTATTAAAAGTGGATTACATGTAAATCAAACCAAATACCTGGTTATTTTCTTTTCCTGGTTGCTCATATTCCAAATAACTGAGTTTAATGTTGTACAGTATAGAACCAGACAACTACTGTTCATTCCATAAACTCCAATGATGAAAAGTATGCAGCATTCATATAAGCCTACCTTAGATTTATTAATATAAATTGTTTCTTTTCTGATCCAACCTTGTTAGCACCAAGAGTCATGAAAAAGTCTCCTTAGGTTAAGGAGACTTTTAA